TAATTGAACTTTGCATACTTGTGCAGCGCACACCCAGCATGTGCACGAAGCGCATGCATGAGCAAACTGGCAGTAAAGCCGGCCGGAACCCACGCCTATAGATGATAGATAGATGGATGGATGGATGGATGGATGGATGGATGGATGGATGGATGGATGTTTCATACTTCTTAATCACTCATCTCTGTCATGCTTTTTGATCGAAAATGCAAAAGTGTAAAAATGGCTTGTCATATTTATCAGAAGAGCTATGGTATTTTCATCCCATCTAGAAATCATCAGTGTTAGTGGTTAAATGTCATAAATACAAATATCCAGTTAAAAAGGAAAAAAATCTGCATTTCTCTTATATTTCTGATATGAATTAGTCATGTATTAAACATGACAAAGCAAGATTCTTGGACTTAGTCTATGACAGTTCTAAAGAAATATAGGCATCACTGCTTACATAATCTCTCTTTTGCTCCGCTGTTCCTTTTCCAGAAAATATTTGTTGAGCCAGAAAGGCAAATAAAGGGGGAGGAAGAAATGAAGAATTAAGTCCAAAATTAGCTCCAAAGTGCCTGAATAGCAATGCAATAAAAAGTTAATTCCTTTAAATAAGCAGGTATATCCTTCTCTCAGACATTGACCTGAAACTTAAATATAGTTATGGCATCTTTTAATTCTGAGCCTAAAGAGAAAAATATGGTAGACTCCTACTCTGTAGTTGGGAAGTCTGCTGGCTGTTAGCCAATTATGAGTGCTAAGCAGGGGTGGTTTGCTACCAGCATTATTGCCGATTCGGCGCACAATTTGCACCTATAAAGGTCTGCACATGTGCACAATGTTAGAAGAGGGGAAAAAAACTTTAAATTTTTGCAATGAAGATTGTTCTGCACATGTACAAAACCGAAAATCAAGATGGTGCTGCCGACGATAGAACCAGTTTGGGGGTGTGGCAGGCCGAGTTACTACCTACTCAGCCGAACCAGTTCGAACCAGTAGGAACCCACCTCTGGTGCTAAGTCAAACCCAGTATAGATGATTGTTGATGCTGATAGCAAGATTTTGGATCCTCACCGTGGCAGAGTAGCAGGCCCTGAAACATACTGACTGCTAAAGAGAACCAGGAATTGGAGCTACATGATTCCACAAAAGGAAAAAGTAACTATTATCCTAAGAAGACAACACCTGGAACTCTGGCCATATAAGAATGTTCTCCAGGCTTTGCTGAAAGCAACTTTCTTGCTTTTTGATCTTCTTTTCTGCATCTTTGGTTCCACGTTCCTCTTGTTCCTTGCCTTCTGGATAGAACTTGGTCTTGAACCAGTTTCCCTCACCAGCACTAAATCTGTTATCTGTTTTTCAGAGAACTGTGTTTTCCAGCTTTGCGACTATATCCAGCCCATATTCATTGTTATCTTAGCAAAAACTGCTTACTGCAATAAACAGATTTCTCTTGGATTTATGACTCCTTGGAAGAGTTTATCTCTCCTTAGCTATAATGAGTAATTTACAACAAGGCAATTAAAGACCATGGACTTGTAAATTGCCTCTCTGCCTGCCTGTTTTCAGTCAAAGCTTTGCATAGGACACACAGAGTGAACGCTAAGTTGACAACAATGAGATATGAAGTTTCCTCCTCCTCCTCTCACCTTGTTCAGCCAAAATAAAAATTTTCAATAAAATAATTCTGCATTTGCTATATGGACAATGGGAAAATTAGACAATTTGGAACTGATGTAGAGTAATTTGTAAAAAACACAATTGGCTCCTTTATCAAGCAGTCCTGTCCTGTTAAGGATGGGAATGGACCTGCTTTAGATCACTGAAAGCTAGTTAATATTCCAGATTCTTCTTTGGCCAGACAGTGCTTGCAGAACCACTCAGAAGCAGGACATTGGGTCCAGTCCTGTTTACAGTATTTTGACATGTATTCCTTAACTGTGGAAAAAGTATATTCCAGGTATATTTAAACATAAATGTAAGAACAATCTATGTCAGCAATTTTAAGGACAAGAACATAATCTTTAATATAGTGTTGCCCCAATGTTTCTGGCTGAGTATATAGTAGATCATCTGTTTGTCTTTAGGACTTAGTATATCTAGAGAAGTCCACTCTATGTATTCAACGTATTTGGATGAAAGATATAAGGGAGTAAGAACAGCTAAGTATTGGGTGCAAAGGGGAGGGGGTAATTTAAATTGGATTTTTTTTATTTAAATCAATTTTTTTCTTTTATCAAATTTATTCTAATAAAATGCTTTTGGAGTAAAAATCTATCTAAAGATAGTTTTCTACTTAAGATACATTAATAATTTAGTTTATTCAGCGTGAAACGGAGTTTAATTATCTAGCATGAGGCTGTATATTCTGCAATAATGGGACTGTGCATGAGTCAACAGTGGATCAGAGGAGGAGTAGCTGTGGGACAGAGATGACAGTTGCTCTTTAAAAACCATGTTTTAAATCAACTTGATTTAAATCAAATTCTCCCTGGTGGGGTGCTCCATAGATGGAAGATCTAATTTATGATGTTCTGATCTGAAAACTATACAAAGCACTCATAACCTGCTTTACTTATCCTTTACTGATCCAGTAATCTTAGAGTTCTGACAGCAAAATGATTTGCTTCTTGCTGGCAGAAACAGGTCCATAACTAACATAGCAAATAGTGATATGTGCAGTCACCCCAAAGAATCATAGAATAGGAACAATGGCAGTCAGCTGTGCAGGCAATTTTTTTAAAGCACAGTATTGTTATATTGATTTATATTTTATCTGCTGCTGGTACCGTAGTTAAATGTGAAGTATCTTGTGTGTAACTGCACAATCTTTCTGCTCATGTTTTTGATAAGTATGTGATGTTTGCTAAAACCATACATCTGCAATAAAGTCACTTACTTACAATTGGATATCTGAGAAATAGTCATATTAAGACCTCTTTCGAGAAAAGCAATCAAGGAAGTAAGAATGGGAAAGAGTTAATGCAAAGACCAGGCACATTCCTTTTTTAATATTTTGCTTATGGCACGAAATGATACAAAGGATGCGAATCCTGTATTTTTGTGAAATGTTTCCAATGGGAGTAAATATTTCCCAAATCAATAAAAAGATAAGTTTTAACAATTTTGGGCCAAAGGGAAAAATGTGCCCCTAGATAGCTATATAAACACATATTTGTGTGTGTGTGTGTGTGTGTGTGTGTGTGTGTGTGTGTGTGTGTGTGTATTTGTGTTGCAACACAAATGTAACAAAGGCAACAGTAAAAATAATGGCTTTCTGTCGTGATGGTCTCTTGTGACAAGCCGATAGACAGAGAAAGGAAGCAGTTGCTTCTTCCCATATTTGGGCATACCAGGGGTTGTGACACAATACATACCTATTTCCCTGGCCTAGCTGATAAAGGAAGAGAGCCTGTGGCTACTATAACTGCCTGATATATAATACAGCCCAGGTTCGATTCCCAGTAAGGGTATGGCTAGCTGATGAGAGCTAAATAGCTTGAAATAGATCTATACTAGTCTCCCTTTATTTATCAGCACAAATACTGATAAATAAATACACACACACACACACACACACACACATATATACACACATACAGATGTCTTGTCATGATCAATTGCAACAGGTCATTCTTCAAGTTAGCCTCATATATAACAAATCACAGTGGTCAAATGTGGAAGCTGCAAAAATAGCACATAGTAGTTTTTCAGAAAAACCCATAGAAGATGAATGTTTTACAAATGTCTTCTGGACAAGCTCTTTTAAAAAGGAAGGTTGGGTTTAGTAGTACCCACAGAAGCAAATCTAGGCAGGAATATAAGCATCCATGTATCATGGGCATACCAATTCTCTTTAACTGCTGGTAATTCAAAATAATATAACCTCTAATTTATTTAAATTTGATCTGTTTAGTTCAGTTCAAAATGGCCATAGCATTCAAAAAACTGTTCAGGGTTGAAATGGCACTTTCATATACTGCAAGCAAACATACTATAGAGCTTGATATCATCAGGAAATTATCTCACTCTCTAAAATTTTTATGGCAATCAGTTTGGTATAAAGGTTAAGGCTAGAAGACTGACTTTTAGTCTTGCCCTAGGCACAAAACCAGTTGGGTGACCCTGGGCCCAGGAGGCAATAGCAACTCACTTCTGAAATCTTGCCATGAAAACTATAAGGACATGTCCAGGTCAGTGGTGGGTCAGGTCAGTATTTTTACTACCAGTTCGCTAGTGCATGTGCGCAACACTTCTGTGCATGTGCAGAAGTGTTCATGTGGGTGGGTGGAGCCTCCTACCGCCGCCACTACCAGTTTGCCTGATCCGGGCCAAACAGGCAGAAACCCACCTCTGGTCCAGGTATTTGCCAGAAGTGAAGGCTAACTCAAAGGCCTCAAATAAAAAGATAAAAAAATGATAGTTTTAAATTGCGAATTAAATACTGTATGTGTTAAATAATATACATTATTCCTTATACTGATCTCTTTCAGATTCCATTATACTCCTTAGTTGTTACTAGTCTAGCTTACTCTCTGTAATTGATTCCATGTGTGATGAAAAGAGAAAGAAATAGCTGATTAGAGAGCCATTACCAAACAGTGCCAAAACTATATACTTTTCTTTGCTGAAAAGTCTTGGATATTCTTGGCAAGATTGACGTGGAAGTATTTTCACAATCACCATATACATGATTTATTCAATACAGAACTCAGGGTGAAAAAAGATTGAGATTATGTTATCCTTGAACACTGAAACTTTTTCTTCGTCATGTCTCAAGAGTGCAAAATTAAATTATCCTGGTCCCTATAGGCCATTCTCTAGATCTACAGAATCTGGGAAGCTAATGGATTTCAGTCCTCAGATCTCCACATCCTATTTATTTCATACACTTCATAAGGAAACCCCCCCACAGCAGACCACAATGTTCCCAAGCCTGAAATAAAACACACTGCAGCGCTACAAAGATATCTTCAGTTATGGTAACATACACAGAATTTTCACATATTTACCTGTGCTACTTCTTCAAAATCATCATGCCTTTTCTGAAGAGCTCGTGCTCTGTGAAGAGACTTCCCCACTCCAGTGTGTTTACTAAGAAAGGCCTCCCCATGGTTTTCAATCCAGTCCAGGACCTGAACAACAAAGACAGAGGAGAAGGAGGAGAATCCATTATTAATTTTATTATTCTTGGCTGTTCAGCACACAACAATTTGCCTTGGACACAACTTAAAAACTGCACTTTTTCATAATGGATTGACATTTGAAAAAATGTGTACATTCTTCACTCTTCATCGGTTCATGCATTCAAATCCAAAATATTTTTTCATTGTTCATTGATTAAGTATCATCACTGAAATCTAGCCATCTGTTCATTTCTAGATAACCAGCCCAGACTTTGAAAGAAAAAGGAACTTACACTATTTTTACTAGAACTTAAAAAAACCAAAATAGCAATAAATAAATTAATGAACACTCTTGCCCTATTTTCCTGTGTAAATTCAGCTCAAGTCTTAGATATCCATTTATTTAGCTCACATGGGCAGAAACATGTATTCCAAAAGCAAAAACAGCTCAGCTCAGAACTGGAAGAACAGTAGAAATGTAAGTTGTGGAACTGGGTGTGTGTTACTTGAACAGTGCTATGGTTTACAATATTAAGTAACATTATAATACATTTGCTTTTCGAATAATATCAGAACTCAATGTACTCCAGTGTTTAGAGAATAAAAAATAAAGTGGCAAATCTATTACCAAACTTTCAAAACTGTAAAATCATTTTACATCTAAAATATTTCTTATATTCAAATTTTTAAAAGAGTTAATACAACATGCCATAAATGCAAATGATACAAAACAAAATGAGCATATGATGCTGTATTAGAAAAGTACAGTATACTATATTGACAATTATTCCCAAGAAATATTCCCAAGAGCTGAGTGGGTCCATATGGAGGTGCTCAGAAATGTGCTCGCCTGTGCTTTGAGGTGGGCATGAGTCAAGAGCCTGGCGGTTGGTGGGTGCCTACTGACAATATCAATGTCCATGCCTGAGCTACTGTACTTCATCACTGTAGCAGTGAATAGCATTGTGGGTAAGATTTCAATATTTATCGAATAATATCTCCTAATTACCAATATTAAAATAAATCCATACAGCTTTTTTCAAGCAAAATACTTTGAGGATATTTAGAGAAAGGCAGGAGGCTATAGATATGTTTCATCAAACAAATTTATTTTAAAACTTTAAAAAACCTGTTACGTTTGTTTAAACTATTATAATGCTCTGTGTCCGTGTGTCAATATGGTACTAGAACATATAAAGATATAATAGTTAACAATGCTTTGGATCCCCTACATCTTTGTTATATTTTAGAAAAGCAAACATTGTAAAAGAAAACACTGTCACATTTCAGAGACAGTGAACTGCTATGAAATGTGAGGTTACTGTTATCTATCTTAGAGCCAGTATTTGAACATGGATTTCAACAGTAAGGATGATTTGATGGTTTCTGACTAGCTCTGTTGTCATTCTATTGACATATCCCTTACCATCCTACCTGTCATTGGGGAGTCCTTTTGCCTTGCATTATGTGAAAAATGGGAGACATATTTCTTGAAAGGGATAAAAACTATTCAATAAGGCTAGAGAACAATTCTCTAAAAATGGGCTCCAGAATAAGTCCGAAAGCTTAGAAGACAAAACCCGGTGAACAACCCAGATTGGATCCTGCAACAATATCCTGGGACATGTGTATTTCTCTTCATTTATGACTGTTCAATAAATTCACATACTCACAAAGAGGAAACCATTATTTCTTGTTTATGTCATGCATTCAGTTTTAAATTTGAAGAAGGAAGATAAGCAACCTAAGTTTCTGTCTGAAAATTTCATCTAGATCAGGGCTGTCAAACTCCCAGCCCATGAGCTGAATGCATCATGCATTGGCCATGCCTACGCCCAGTTTAGCAAAAGAGGGAAAAGTCCTGATATGTCAAGTGATGCTGCCGTGATGACATGTTTGACACTCCTGATCTAGATCCTGAGGCAAAGCCAGAAGTCATTCAAAGTTTAAAACTCTTCAGGTTCTTATCATCTAGTGTCTATTGTGCCATTTACTTCTACCCTGTCAAGAAATGCACCAAGCAGGTACGGATAATCTATTTCCATATACAGGTAAGCTGCCTGGCTTAAGGAACAGAACTCTTACAAAGCCTTTTGAAGGAAAATGCTTCCTTCGGAGCTATCCTTGGTACTGCAGCTATTTGTTGTATTTGGAGACTAGGATACACAAAGACAATGTTCCTAAGAAAATTGCACACTACTTGGTGTACTGTACTTTGAGTGAAAGACACATCCCACATATCTGTTGTTATAAAATACATTTATAATCAAAATATGATTTTCTACTAAATTCATATTTTGGGTTTCAAAGGAAGAGAATATCTGTAGCTCAGAACTGAACTAAATGCTTGATGAGTTCTTGCTGAACTGAGTTGAACTGTGGATTGAACTGAGTTAACAGAATGTAAGTGTAAGATCTTACTTTTCTCTATTGAATTTCATTTTGTTGGATAGCACCCAGTATTCAAGTCTGTCAAGATCCATCTGGATCTTAAGCTTATCATCTGGGATATTGGTTATTGCTGCTAGCTTAGTGTCATCTGTAAATTCCCTTCTATTCCCTCATCTAAATGGTTTATGAAGATATTGAAGAGTACTGGGTCTAAAACAGAATTCTGGGACACCTCACTGCTTCTTCCTTCCATATAGATGTAGTTACATTGAGGACTACACATTGAGTGCGATTTGTCCGCCAATTACAAATTCATCTGGTGATGATGCTGTTTATCCCACATTTTTCTAGCTTACTACGAAGTAGTTTGTGGTCTACTTTGTCAAATGTTTTACTGAAATCCAAGTATACTATTTTTTTTATTTGAGGGGGGAGTTTTATTAGAGAGCCTTAAAATTTAGTTGAAACCTAATTTTATTTGGGGATGGTGTTCTGTTATTCCAGGACTTCTGAGAAGCCATCCACCCAATGAGATTATCCTGCCCTGTTAGTTCCACCAGAAAAGGCCTACTTCAGATCCCTTCAGCCAAAGAATTTTGGTAGGTGGGTCCTAGAGAAGAGGCTTTTCTGCTGTGTCCCCTCCCTCTGGAATATTCTTTTGCTGGCAGCTAATATATGATTTGTTGTGAGGAATGAATCGTATTGAAGGAAGTGTGTAAGAGGTATTTCTGCCTACTTTGTATCAGTAAAAACATAACGCTAAGTTAAAGGCAGCAAGAACGGATTTCTGAAAAGCATGTGTGGATCAAGAATGAATGACTGCTGAATGGATGTGGATAAAACAAATGGTGAGGTATAGTGATTGCTCTTCCTATAAACTGGAATCAGTTATAGGATTCAAATGGTGAGGTATAGTGATTGCTCTTCCTATTAACTGGAATCAGTTATAGGATTCACTTTGTGTCAGTCTGGATTTAGTTAGAATTCTTTATCTTCTTTTTATCCCAGTCTTTAGTTCCTTTTGCCCATTTCCTCTCTCTTCTTCAATTTATATAACAATGCTTACTCTAAAAAAGGAATAGAAGATGGATATATTTGATGTGTACAACAGTCACATTGTGCGTGTCTGATATTAGTGGAAAACAAAATTAAAATTTCATAATATTTACATGCATCTTTTTCTCTTTTAGGCACTGGCAGAATTAGCCAGATAATAGAATAGCTGGTATTTTTTGTCAAACTTTAACTTCCTTAACACGACTACTATCAGATGTTTTGCATTTTTAAAAGGGTATCACTGGTACACATGAACATCACTAAGCCTTGTCTTTATAATAGAAGAATAAACTAATCCAACTGGAAATAAATTAATTATGTCAGGGGAACCAACCGACTGTGATTGAGGCAGTTAAAAACAATTATGTGTTGGTCCACAGGTTTCTTGTCCATTTCAGCAGAAATGATTAGCTTACTAATACTGCATCTCTCCCTTACAAACCCTTTCATAACCAGCCAAGCAATCCAACTGATCGCAGTAGTTCTTCCCTAGGGATTCCCGAGAAAAACATCCATGCTAATCCATATCATCATTCTGCTGCCATATCATGGTGGGTTCTCCCTCTCCCTCTCCCTCTCCCCCTCTCTCTCTCTCTCATCCTTTACTTTACTTCTAAGAACAAGCTTCAGGCTGGCTCTTCTTTGTCTGCCACAATGATCCTGGGAAATTTAATCTATTTCTGAGATGTATCATAAATCTGCTTAGATTTTCCAGACAAGGTTGAATTTACCATTTCTCCCTTTATTACTTCATTTTTTTTATATGGACGCTACGAATAGCGTTCATGGCCTTCTTCCTTCAGGATTCATCTCCTATGGAATCATTCTGTAAGATTTCTTTGATTTGCCTTTTTTCCATGCCCCCTCCCCCCTTTTAATCTATGTATGTATTTCTTTAATTTGTATAGCCGCCATCCTGAATCTGTAATGGGCAAAGAGCAACCATAAAAACAATTAATATTAAAATATATTATACTGTATTTGTGCATGTTTTGTTAATAAACTTAAATTACACTGTCACCAGTGATATAGTGAAGTTAATATTTGTGTCTTTTCCTCATTCCTTATTAAAAATGAAAAAGTAAAAATTTCATCACTGTGCCATGTGTGAAACATAGCCTCATTGAATTAAAAGGTAAAAACTAAAATCAGTGAGTACTTCCAGAGTTTTTGCCATGAAAAAGAAGGTGATTACATTTGTATGGTACCACAAAAGATTTCTTTGCCTTCTTTACCAGCTGCCTGGTTACAAATGCAACCTTTAAGGTACCCTTTTCCCCAACGAGACCTTCAAAAATCTACATGTGTCACTCTGCAAGTACGGATAGTCCTTGACTTACGGCCACAACCGAGCCCAAAATTTCTGTTGCTAAGCAAGACAGTTCTTAAGTGAGGTTTGCCCCATTTTACAATCGTTCTTGTCACAGTTTTTAAATGAATCGCTGCAGTTGTTAAATTAGTAACATGGTTGTTAAGTGAATCTGGTTTTCTCATTGACTTTGCTTGTCAAAAGTTCACAAAAGTGGGATCCCAGGACACTGCAACTGTCAAAAATATGAACTAGTTGCCAAGCAGCCAAATTTTGATCATGTGACCATGGGGATATTGCAATGGTCATTAGTGTGAAAAACAGTCATAAGTCATTTTTTTCAGTGCTGTTGTAAGTTTGAACAGTCTTAAAAGAGTGCTGCTCTTCTAGAACACTGTGCTCTTCTAGAAAGTATAAAGGAAGTAATCCAGGAGCTGTTTCAAGTATTTTCCAAATACTGTGCCTTCTTCCTTCCATTATAATATTTAGGGATTTTTCTCACATACATAATAAGTGCTCGACACTATGAAAATAGAACAGACTGTTTGTTTTCTCCTTGAAGGAAAGAGCAACTTGCAAATTTATTGATCACTGTTTGCTCAACAAAACGAAATTATGGAATAAAATTAAATGCAGAGGCAATTGCAACACTTAATCATTTCCTTTTATTCTCTTGCCAACATTGAGTCAAGAAACATCCTCAGGGTCTTTCTGCAGGGAAGGCACTAAAACCCAGCAATCCAATCTGCATGTTTCATTTTTCTATAATTGTCTTTCTGCTGTACAATTAATAGTTTCATCCTACAATTCTACAGAGCTTCCTAAAGCTTTAACCATAAAAAACATGTTACAAAATCAAAAACAAAACCAACCATTGTTTTCTAATTATATGGGTGAAGTGAAGAGAGAGAGTCAGAGAGAGACAGAGAGAGAGAGAGACAGACAGACAGACAGACAGACAGACAGAGACAGAGAGAGAAAGAGATATCTACAGTAGGAATTCATTTGAAACAGTGAGCTCAGTTTAGTTCTCATACTCAATTCCTGGGCTTGGATTTGTTTAATTCTGATCATTAGCAATCTAATGTTGCAGGAAGAAGCAAGCTATATGGGAAACCAAACCATACTGGAAACCTTAGTCTGCTCACTAATAGTCTAAAATATATTCATGGGCTAAAATTGCCTGTACTGTTTGGTCATAAGTGTGACCAAACTATTATAACTATGTGTATTGATATATAAATCTGTATGTACATATACATACTGTATGTATGTGTGGTTTTTTGACTCATACATACATGTGTATGTGTATGTAGCCAAAGCAGTTCTATACACAAACTTATTATTAACTACTGTACAAATATGGAAGGACATATTAGGATGTAATAAGTGTTATTTATATTCATCTAGTTTTAAATCAATCTTATTTCTTAAAATGCTATTTATTTTATCATCACGGGTTAATTCATGACCATGAACAATCTGAATTACTTTGACCCCTTCTTCCAGGTTGCTTTAAGAAAACATTCTGGTTTATTTTCTCTTGATTAAGTCCTAATTTGTTGATTAAGTACTTAATTATACTACTTATACTACTGGAAACAAATTACAAATAGGAAAAAAAATCCCCAGTCAGTTTCAATTATTATATTATTAAGGGTAGATTGACTATTTAATACAGTAGGATGAAGTATTAGATATTTAGAAATGGAAGTTATCATTACAAAGAGAAAGGTGTTCAAATTTTAGGTGGCTCAAAGTGCTAAAAATAACAGAATAAATGTACTTTCCTGCACAGCAAGATAGAATGTTGTTTGCATTGACATATAATCATGCCTACTGCTTCCTCTGCAATGAAAGAGTTGAAAAGATTCTATGAGAAGTTTTTTTTTTTTTGTAGAGAAATTGGTTGCTTTATAATTCTCATGTTGATTTAAGATATTACTGTGGGCTAAATGGTGCAATCATCCAAAGACATAGAACTTTATGTTCAACAAATTTGTCACATCATGCTGATATTTTTATGTTCTACTGTGTTCTGAGATTAAAGACAACCAAAGTGACTTTCCACCCACTGGCCAAGATGCTAACCCCAAATGTTCAAATAAGACAATTTATATATTTTTCCACATGAAAACCAACCCTCCTCCTCCTCCTCTAAAAAATGGAATCTATCAGAACCCTAATTTGCTGTGTGTGTGTGTGTGTATGTTTTTTTGTGCTGATAAATAAATAAAGGGAGACTAGTATAGATCTATTTCAAGCTATTTAGCTGGCCATACCCTTACTGGGATTCGAACCTGTGATGTACTGCATCTTAGGCAAACGTCTTAGCCATTATGCCACAGGTCTCCTCCTTATCAGCTGAAGCCAGGGAAGGAGGTATATATTTAATGTCACACCCCCTTGTGAGCCCCCATTATGGGAGGAAGCTGGGTCCTTCCATTCATATATATATATATATATATATATATATATATATATATATAT